AAATAGGTTAAACTAGTGAACCCTATCAATTCAATTTCGTAGTTACTAGACGTGAAAATTATCGGTGACTATATAAAATTTAGTGACATACATTAGTAATAAAGTGATGGAGTAATCGATGTAAACACCTTATAAATATATAGAGTAACGCGATTATAGAAACTCTCCACCATAGTCTCTAGTGGATACTTTTTACGTATATCGTTAGATCACGATCTAATGGTCATTAAATAAATATGCTTAAAATTAATTTTCAAGACCTACCTAATTTAGTTTTTAACTAAATAGATAATTGTCTATTTCTTATTAATTGTAATTTAGTCCTATAAGGAAAGTTTTTAAGGTAAATAAAAAAAATGCTTTTTTTTTATTGACTAGTATTGAACAGATCAAATCTAATAACCCAAATGATTTTTATCTCATATCTATATTATGCATCAAATTTATTATACCCGTTTGGGTTTTCAAAAAAACTAAAAATACATCTTCAAACTCATCTCCTCTCACGTTGATCTCCTGCCGAGTACAACTCTTATACTCAAACCCTCTTGCCGACTACTCTTGGTAAAGTTGTGGATTAATTTGTGCACGTTTACAACCCTCCTGCTCCTCTTCAAACCCATCTAATTTGTGCAAGTTTAATTTCGGATGTAGTAACTTTAATAGTAGTGGTTCTTAAAAAACTTAATGTTCGGTTCAAAGTTTTGCTACAATTCCTCCCTTTATGCTTGTTTTGGGTTGTAATGTGTCCCTATGAATAAAAGGACGATAGTCAAAAAAAATTTTAGGAATGGAACAAAATTACAACTTGATTATTGTTTATTGAACAAGAAAATAATAATAAATTACTTTTTTAGATGTTTATGATGGCAATGAGTTTGATATGCAATCCTAATTTTAAACTAATCTCACTTAATAATTGTAAAATTGTGGTATTAAGAGGATAGATCAGTGTTTTATATAATGAACCAAAAAAAAAAGAGACAAAAATAACTAGTAATTTGACCAAAGTATTGGAAATACTTATAACCTTTAATGTTTATTTTTAATTTTTTTAACCCAAAAGGGTATTATAAATTAGGTGGATAAAGCCATCATAGCAGTGCAGCAATTGTGCAGACTAGCAGTAATTCTTTTGCATGAAGCTGAAGGAACCATTCAGTCATTGAGTTATAATTTTTAATAGATGGGTAAAGATTAAAATCATCCAGTCATTGGGTTGATCCGTTAATATGTAAGAGGAGTCAAGACTCAAGAATTTTTTTTATTGAGCAATGTTATGCTACACAAATATTTGTCCAAATTTTGTATCCCAAATTAATGCAGGTGGTTGTGTTGGATTTTGACCTAAACTCTCCAAGTGTTTTATTTTTTATTTATTTAATATTAATTTTTAATTAAAAATTTAATGGGTTTAAGAGTTTTGACCCATAAAGTAAACTAACTCTAGCTCGTTTGGAGTAGTTTAATCAAAATTATAATAGAATTTGTGTTAATAGTTTTTAATAGGTTTGATCTCTTTAATATTTAAATTCTCTTTATGTTTGTAATGGCAGTAGCTTTCTTGGAGAAATTCTTTGACTTTGACGTTGGTTTTAACGTTTTCATCAATTTTATTATTTTCATTATTTTGACGTGACCTTCTTCTTCTTTTTTTTTTTAATTTTTCCTTTGATTAAATAGTTATGCTGTGAGATATTTGAGTGTTTAATATTATTTTGGGATACTACATCTAATATTAGAGTCAATTTCAGATATGGCAACACAGGAACGAGTTCGTTCAATGTCCCGTTGAAAAATTTGACGGGAGGTCAAATTTTTAACATTAAAAAACACAGATGGAGTTATTTTTCAAGGTCATGAATTTTTCAGATATTGTGACAGACGAGTTCACATATTCCGGAGATCTACCACCTCATACAAAGTCCAAAAAGATGAATTGGTAATTAATTGGAAAAAGGACAGTAGAGCGTTGGAGCAATTGATTTATCAATTTTTGATAAGATTGCTCATGTTTCGACGGTAAAGGCGGCATGGGATGTGTTGATCAATTGTTATATTGGACAAGACAAGGTGAAAAATATTCGGTTGCAAATAGTTTGAGTTTCTTTAGATAGAAAAATCAGAGAGTATATCTGATTATTTTTCGTGGACGTTGGTTATTGTCAATCAGATGAGAGCCAACGACGAGGATGTGAAGGATCTCCATGTTATGTAGAAAATTCTTGGGACCTTATTAATGAAGTTCGAATATATTGTTACAGCTATCATGGAGTCAAAGAATCTTGATTCTTTATCAATTGATGGGTTCTTTGCAAGCCCATAAACAAATATTGAATGAAAAGACTGAGATTTTATGAGAAGAAGTCTTGCAGACTCATGCAATTGAGAAAAATAATATATGAGAGTTTATTTTTTTTCTCAAGGGAAAGAAAGTTATTGGAGTTAGATGGGTGCACAAGACCAAATACAGGCAAAATGGGGAGGTGGATCACTTCAAAACAAGGTCAGTAGCCAAGGGATACAAACAAAAAGTAAGTATTGATTATCTTGAGGATTTTGCTTTTGTTGCTAGGCTTGATACTGTGTCGTATGATTATTTCTCTTGCTTCTAATAATTCTTGAAAGATTTTTAAATGGATGTAAAATTTGCTTTCTTGAATGGTGTCCTTAAGGAGGAAATTTATGTTGAACAACCTGCTGATTATGTGAATAAAGGGGAGGAAAATTTATAAGTTGAAAAAAACTTTGTATGGGGTTAAACACACCCCTAAAGTTTGGTATACTCGGATTGATTCTTATTTTATAGAGAATTATTTTCAGAAATGTCCCTATGACCACACTTTATATGTCAAAACTAATTCTTAGGGAGATATTATTATTGTGTGTTTGTATGTGAATGATCTTGTTTTCACTGGGAATAATTTGAAGTTAATCGAGAAATTCAGGAAGACAATGATTTCTCAATTTGAGATGACTAATATGAGTTTGATGTTCTATTTTCTTGGGATCGAGGTTAATCAGATAGACAGTGGAATTTTTATTTCTTAACAAAAGTATGCTAAGGATATCCTTAAACGGTTCAAAATGAATTCTTGTAATCCTATTTTGAATCCAGTTGAAGGACGACTAAAATTGTGTAAAGATGAGAATGATGAGTTAGTGAATCTCACATATTTCAAATGGTTGATGGAAAATCTACGTTATTTGATTTTCACTAAACTTGATATTATTTTTAGAGTTGGTCTTACTAGCAGATACATGAAGTCTCTACGTCAATCCCACTTATAAGGATTATGAGATATGTTAAAGGTACCCATAGTGATGGTATTTTATATTCTCCTACTAGTTCTTGTGAACTTGTAGGGTATACAAATAGTGATTGGGATGGTGATGTGAAAAAAGTCAAAAGTATTTCAAGGTATTGTTTTCAAATCGATTTAGGAATTTTTTCTTGATTTTCAAAGAAACAACAAATTATTGCTCTTTCTACTACCGAAGCAGAGTATAATGCAACTACCAGTTATACTACCCAAACAGTGTGATTACTTCATATGCTTGGATTTTTGCAGCATGCACAGAAAATAACAAGTCAGCTATTGCTTTGTCAAAGAATCTAGTTTTTATTGGAAGGACCAAACATATTAATGTTAAATATCATTATATTTGTCACTTGGTTATTAACGGTGAGATTGAAATTTTGTATTGTCAATCTGATAATCAGATTGCAAATATTTTTATCAAGCCACTTAAATATGATGCGTTCATGAAACTTAAGCGGATGATGAGAATGATCAAGATTGAAGAGTTTAGTTTAAGGGAGACTGTTAGATTTTGACTCAAACTCTCAAAGTGTTTTATTCCTTATTTATTTGGTATTAATTTTTAATTAGAGTTTTAATGGGTTTAAGAGTTTTGACCCATAAAATATACTAGTTAGTTTTGAGTAATTTAATCAAAGTTATAATAGGATTTATGTTATTAGTTTTTAATAGGTTTGATTTCTTTAAAAATTAAATAGTCTTTATATTTGTAATGGCAGTTGCTTTGTTGGAGAAATTCTTTGAGTTTGACATTGGCTTTAATGTCTTCGTCAGCTTCTTCTTCTTCTTTAATTTTTCCTTTGATTATAGTTATGTGTGTGAGTATTTAATACTATTATTTTAGGATTTTATAGGTTGGATTAGTGGGATCTACTAACTCCACAAAATATTCATTACCACTTGGGTTACAAAATTTGTGCAACGCAAATGTATCCTTTTTTATTTACTAACCTTTAAGACTTTACTTATTAAATCACAATTAATAAGTTATAGACATTTTTTATTTAGTTAAAAACTAAATTAGGTAATTTTAACAATAAATTTTGAGCATCTTTATTTAGTAGCCATTAAATCGTGATCCAACTGTATACGTAAAAAATACCCATTAAAAACTATGATGTATAATTTTTATGATCGTGTTACTTTTTATATATATATATATATATATATATATATATAACATTTTGAAATCGAAAATAATTTATTAACTTAATCAATTATGATTTTTAATTGCCATTAAGATGCACGTGTACTTTTTACAAATTTTATAGTAGTAATAGATTAGATCAACTAATAAAATTATTAAATTAGATCAAAATAATATGATTATTTTGAGTCATTTTTACTACAGACTCTTCAATCATGCAGCAGACGTTTCGGGGAATGAAGGAACGACGCCATATAAATTACAGGTAGCTGATTCCAGCACGTCGTTTGAGATTGAGAGTGTCCTGTCCACCAAAACTCGCTTCGCTGGCTTGTCCGACCAGAGGGCAGTTTCGGAAATCTACCAACCAATAAAAAACAAGGAAGAATACAAAAAAAGCGCCCAAAGCGCTTCTTCTAGAGCCAGCGATACCGAATATCTCTCTCTCTCTCTCTCTCTCTCTCCGTCACCGAGTCTTTATTATTTCATTTTTTTTTCTATTTCTCAGCCAAAAACCGCGCTTTTACCCCCTCTCTCTCTCTCTCTCTCTCTCTCGGTTTCTTCCTAGGGCTAGGGTTTTCCTTTTCCTTAAACGCGTCTACTTTGACAAAATCTCGAGGATGTTGCTTAAAACCTCCAGTTCTCTCTCCAACTTGTCCAGTTTTGTCCTCCAACAACTTCCTCGGTCAACCATGGCTTGAATATCCACCTCTCTCACTCTCTTGGTAATTCTCTCCTCCCTCCCCCTCGCCCCCCCTCTCTCTCTCTCTATTCATTCTTTCTCCTTGTGTATACATATATACGCATATGTGTAGATCTCTTATTATTTGTCGGCGGTATTGTTATATTTGATCCTTTTACGTCCCTTATTATAAGACTTTTGACAATAAATTAGATGCATAACTTTTTCTGATGGTTGTTATATGGAGGTCTTTGGAGTATTGGAAGGTAACTTTACCGGGATCTGAATTGATATGCGTAGATTGATTGAGAACTGATTGCTTGTTTATTTATTTATTTTTTTTGAGCAATTATTGAGAACCGATTGCTTGCACAGCTCTTTTTGAGTAATTTTAGGGGTTTTGTAGTTCTTCACTGTCTTTTTGGAAAGTCGGAGTTTTTGGGATTTCTTTTAGGGTTTTTGGTTTTATTAGTGGGAATGCATTCTTATCGTTTGCCCTAATTGAAATCATGCTGAACTGGAGTGCTTCTAGTTTTATCGATTGTTAACAAGTATTCTAAATTGTTTGGCGTCTGTTTGAGACTTGGCACGAGAGAAGTGGGTGGTATCTCTAATTGTGTGGCTGTTTAGAAATGTCTTATACATCTATGTGGCGTTGTATTCTACTTATTTTTGAGGTCTTGGATATTGGGAGTAATTGAAGTTTGAAGTAATACACCATGCACGCATGTATGGATATTTGGTTTGGTTGTCGGCATTTAGTGTCTTGGTCTATTCATATTTCTATTTTACCTGGACAAACTCAGTGTCAAATAGACTGATGACCACAATCATGTATTACAATTAGGGGGCAATCATGTATTACAATTAGGGAAACATAAATTGACCAAGAAATCAAAAGCCTCTCTCTATTTCCAGCTGGATTTTGTCTTCTCATCTACTAGTACACGAGCATCAGTGCCAGTCCCACCTGCCATCCAGAGTCCCAGACCCGTATAATTGCATCTCTCTCTCTCTCTCCATGAACCCTCTCTTAAACTCCCATGCCTCTTTCTGGCCCCTCCATCTTTGTCTTTGAAACCCTTCCAAAACCAACAGATTTCGGACTCAAAAGTAAAAGGAAATTCATTCTTTTGTTTCTTTGATACCCTTCCAAAACCCTATTTTTGAAATTATCTTCTCTCTTTAAAAAAGGCCAATCATTCAACCTATGGATTGATTATGTTGAAAACCGTCGGAGCTTTTGAAGCTCAATTTCTCAAACTCTTAAGATTTCGGATCATGATCTGCATCAGAATCGTTGATACCTAGCCAATACTTATGCTAAAGATTGGATTGGTTTGAGTATGTTGACATGAGTAATGCAGCAATTATGGTTTTTCTGTCTTGGGTCTATTGGGCTTACCTGGAAATGAAGAAGTAGTGTCTTTTTCTTTTCTTTTTTTCTTTTTTTCTTTTATTTTATATTTCCTATTGTATGTTTTTACTGGCCCTATTACTTTGATATGTGGTTGTCATGTGTAAGACTCTATGACATCTGTTCCTGCAGTGGCGGCAGTCCTGGGATTGAAGTGTATAACATTCCTGAACATGGACATGCAGATGCTTATCTGATTATTTTTCGCTCATAGCTTGTCTTCATTTTCCTTAAATGAAATGAAAACATTTTGTGAACATCCTGAGAGAAGTATAATGTATGTTTGTGTATAGTATGCACGATTATGTCGATGTGTAGAATATTGATATGTTTCGTTGCATCTTTGCCTTCAGATTCAAAGCATTACGTATTAACAAGCCCACTTCCCCAACAATTTGAAGTCATGTATAACGAAGGAGCCCCAGAGTTTGTTGTTGATCAGGGCTTGTACTATCCTACTGCCACCAACTATGGTTATATATGTACAGGTAACTCCGTTGGTCTCCTTGTATTCAAGATGACAATGATGATTTATATTTGTTTATTCACGTCTTCTTGTGTTATTCTGGTCAGGATTTGAATCACCCGGCGATTGGAATGACCACCATAAGGTTTTTGGTGTGGATGGTCAAGATATTCAGTACGCGGTGAGTTCATATATGTACATATAATTCACCCAAAAAATTTTGAAACTTTGATTGTTTCATTTTTAGTCTTCTGAACGTGTATTTCTTCTTTTTCAGGGTTCACAGACAGAAAATATGCCGTTTGTATATTATACACCTAGCTATGGATATGCACAGTCTCCATATAACCCATACAACCCCTACATTCCTGGTGCTATGATAGGAGTCGATGGCCCGTTTGTAGGGACACAACAGTACTACAACATCCCATCTTATGAAAACCCTGTCTCTTCGCCTGCTTATTTCCCCATGGTTGTTCAATCTGGGCCAGATATTATCGGAAATGGTGCAACAGACCCATTTCTGAACACTGCTGCTTCCATTTCTAATAGAGCTGATGGCCCAGGCCTTAAACCCAACCTCTCCTCAGCAGCTGCAACTTTTGGCTTGACCCCTTCTAAGCCTCTTTCGAATCAAAACATTTCTTTCACTGGGGTATCAGAAGGCCCTAAAGTTAATGTTGGATCTAGCAAGCATACCGCCACACATGGAAGTGTTACTTCTGGTAGTTTTTCCTGTCCAGCATCGCCACAAGTTTTTCAGGTATGAAAACTTTGTATCGTTTTAATTTTTGGGGAGGTCTGTTGCACCAAGGCTATTGGACTTTTATAATGGATGAGTGAGGCCATTGTGGTACTTGAATTCTACTTGTCCCCAGATGACTAAAAGCTTATTTGAAGTGTCTAGTTGTCAGTTTTTTCATTTCAAACTAAGCTGTTTGTTGTTTGGTGCGGTTATATTTTCCCTGTCTGGTGTACACCTGATATGTACATTTGAAATGATTTTTCCCTAGATTGGAAATTAACCTTGTTTTAAGGAGTTTCATGATGATAGCTACTGGTTGAATATTTGAAGTTCTGAATCATAGTTTTGGTGCTTCTGTTACAGGGAAGAGGTGTTCATTCTGTAGATAACATCTCGCGTGGGAAGCCTATGCCTAATCGTAACCATTTAAAAATTGCTCTCCCTTCTGGTAATGGCCTGTCTAATTTTGGATCAAGTGTTCATGGGCCGGCAACGGTGGATAGGGTTCGGTCCAAGTTCTACTATGGCAGAGTTCCAAATGATGTGAATGGCAGTCCAGATGCATATACTGAACAGAATCGGGGACCTAGAACTAGTAAATCAAAAAATCATTTGACTGTGAAAGCCTATACCACCATAGCAGAAAATAGTGATGCACAAGGAAACATCATTATCTATACCGATCAGTACAACAAGGATGATTTCCCTGTTGATTATGCAAATGCAAAGTTCTTTGTAATAAAATCTTACAGTGAGGATGATGTGCACAAGAGTATCAAGTACAATGTATGGTCATCTACACCCAATGGAAATAAGAAGCTTAACAGTGCCTACGAAGATGCTCAGAGAATCACTGCAGGGAAACCAGGAGGCTGTCCTATCTTTCTTTTCTTTTCTGTGAGTTGAACTTAAGTAGTTTGCACTTAATAAACACTAGCCTTTCTTGTCATCCATGTTTGAATTATAGTTTTCAAATCATCCACCATTATTATTGGATGACACTTATTGGAGCCCCTTTTTGATTTTGGTGGAATAAAGGTGAATGCAAGTGGTCAGTTCTGTGGCGTTGCTGAGATGACTGGTCCAGTAGATTTTCATAAGGACGTGGATTTCTGGCAGCAAGATAAATGGAGTGGGAGCTTTCCTGTCCGGTGGCATATTATAAAAGATGTACCAAACCCCAACTTCCGACAAATCGTATTGGAGAACAATGAGAATAAGTCAGTAACTAACAGCAGAGATACACAAGAGGTTTCTTTCTTGACTACAACTCAATATTTACATATCTCTTAAACTTCCATTGTTACTTGGTTGTTGATTATTGCTGCATATTCTCTTTATTTTGGTTGCATTTTTGCTATGATACTTGTTTGGATTTGGTAGGTGGTGCCCAATTATAGCTAGAATCTCTCTCTTAGTTTGAGGATCTCAATGTCCGAGTCTTCTATGCTCTCTGAAATAGTGTCTGCTTTTGTCTTTTCATACATACTACTCAAACCCTTGATCACATATCATTTCCAGTTGGCTACAACATTCCTTTTCCCTGATACATTTTTTATGAGGAATATATCTATCGCTTTTTTAATCTATCAATGTTTTTACTCTATCAATCAAGACAAGACACGTTGTTTTTTATGCTACGAACATGAATCATGCTCCTGTAGGGGGCTCCTGAACTGAACCTTGCAGGATATCATTTCCTTGCTGACATAGTTGGCTCTTCATTGCACATGGTCTAATTGTCTGAACCAATCAACATAAATGATATTAGTGTGGCCCTCCTGGTGCAGACCTGAGTCATGATTTTGCATCTAATTGAAGACTTACCACCCCTCGCTCCCCATGCAAACACCCCTCCCGAACATTGAATGGGCTACTTATAAAATTGATCTGTCGCTTCTTTAGATCTGAGTATGCGATCTTTTGGCAAATTATATTGTCTGTCTTAATTTATCTTGTTTATGTGCAGATAAGGTATAAAAAAGGCTTGGAGATGCTGAAAATATTCAAAAACTATATATCGAAGACATCGTTGCTCGATGATTTTACGTACTATGAAAATAGACAGAAGATCCTGCAGGAAGAGAAAGCCAGGCTACTAATCAAAGCCTATGAAACTCCATTCCTTGTACCATTATTAGATACTCCCCGCAAGCTAAATTCTGTGCGCGGCTTGCCTTCTAGCGAATATGAGAAGATTACCAAGCATGTCTCTGACAAGAACACAGCGGCTCCCTCAGAGCAGGTTTCCTTAGATCCTGATGCGAGCAACCCTAGTATTGGAAATGAAAATGCCAATCCGATAGCAAATGAAGTAAACAATAATGACACACTAAAGATCGGTTCACTCACTATCAACCCAAGAAACACGGAATCAAAGCCGTCCGAGGTCACTGCTGCTGCTGCTACTGCTACTGCTACGGTTGCAGTGGCAAATGCTGAACCAGTTGATGTAGTTAGAGTAGGGTCCATGCCTATCAAAGTTAATGGATTTGCTGAACGTTCTGGTTTCTTAACTGTTGGGACAATATCCCTTGATCCTAGTACGCTCCAGGTTAACGAGCCAGGTGCTTCAACCAAGATTGGGTCTCAGCAAGGCTGATACAGGTACATTTGGAATATCTGGAGCACTTCAAGTTACTGTGCTCAGAGGAGCATGTGGAATGCAGTTGTATGCCTATGGACCCAACCCAATTGTCATTGATTTTACAGATTGGAGTGTTAACATTTCGGTCATTGTTAGAGTTGTAGGTCATGAGGATTACAGTTCTCTGTTGTTTCTTTTCCCTTTTCACTGCGGTGGCATGGGGATGATGAAGTATTTATAGGCACTCAGTTCTGATGTATTGGGTTTCCTTGTACTAGACTGGAGGTGGTGTTGTCTGGTCGATCGTAAGAGGAAAAGAGTGTGATCTTTGGCGTTGTTTTCATATCTTATCAATCAATCCAAAGATATATATGAGAATTTTATAGCTGGTTTCGCTTTTTAACTGAAGTGACCTTTTCTTCTTGCTGCTTTTGTGTTTTTTTTTTTTTTTCCTTTTGTGATTTGGCACTCGTGATACATTAGCTAAATGATAAACAGCAGTTATCAAAGCTTTTTTATTGAGGTATTTCGACAGGATTTGTCTGTTTAAAGAGGTAATCATTCGCCCTGCGAGATTTATTAATGAATAATGTTATTGAGATTTAAGGAGTTGATATATTTTATTGATTTAATGATATATTAAGGAATAATATTTTAATTAAAAAAATATAATAATTATAATTACATAATATTGTTAGCACGACAACCCTCCTCCCCTTTTATTGTTTCCTCCAGCTCCAGCTGTTTTTCATTTCTTTTAGATGGCAAATTACGGCATCAGCATACGTTCCAATTCGTTGAAACTAAAAATTAGAAAGTGGTGGTACATGCAAAAAGTAGGGACCCACATGTTTTGCAAAATTACAAAACCATACGGGCCCACTCCTTCTGATCTTCACACCCTGGTGTATGAAGAATTGGAGATGACTTGCATATCAGAGTGCACGTGGATTCCACAGAAACACAGACGCCTCCCTACACCCAAATAGTGTTTCTTTTTTTTAGTAGAGTACCTTGGCGTTCTGAGCTCCATAGAAAACTGGGTGTGTGACTTGCACACTGATCTTCGTGTTCAACTTGACTCGAGTGTACCTGCCTCTGTCCGACAGGGGAATTTGAATTTCTCAGCCAAATCTCCGGTCAAAACTCAGATCAGGTACGCCATGACCACCGCATTCCTTTCCTTTGGATCTTCGCTGTTTCGAGAGCCGTTGTTTTCATCGACTTGGGTGAAGAAAAATTAGGAAAAGATGAAATATCAAATTTTCTTTCTCTTTTCCATTGAGGCCGTGAAACGTTTTCTTTTTCATATAAATTAAAGCAGATCAGTAATTGAGGATCGAATTTTTTATATTTCGATGTGTTTTGGTAAGGTTCGATCAGAATATTTCTAAAAAAAATAGAACTGGATTTTTTTTTAGAAATATTTCTGAAATATTTTCAATTTCGAGATGTCCGAAACTGTACAAAATAGTCATACGTATAAAAATATATTTCGTTTCATTCTTTGTCCCTTGTTAGACGTGTATTGATTTTCTGAACGGATTTTGGGGTTAGTGTGCTGATGATGCTCTACTGGAATTGTGATTATTAGTGTGCATTTTGATTCCGAGGATTGTTTTTGTACAGGGTTTATTTAACATTTTTCTTTTGGTGGATTGAGGTCTTATATTTTCTGAAATTGTTGATTGGATTAGTATAGCGCTGGAGTTGCAGCTGCTTTTGCTTCATCTACATCCTGACGTGTGTCTGTTCATTTCCAAACGTTTGTGTACTCATTCTTGAAGGACAAACCTTAGTTTACTATAAGTTCATCATTGGGAAATGGAGGATATGAGTTTTGAGTTATGATGAAGCGAAGGGGCTGTTGAATCAGTGCTTGGGCTGTTAATGGTCGGTTTGGTAGGGTGCATGGAAAAATGGGAGGATGGAAAGGGAGAATGATACACTTTCTATCATTCAAGAGTGGAATTTTGCATTCCCTTCTTTGTGTTTGGTAAGATGGATGAAAAATAGGGAGGATTAATATTTTTTGTTTTTGGTAAGATGGAAAAGTATTTTTCTTTTATATTTTTTTAGGAAAAATATAAATACATATTTTATCATTATATTTGTATATGAAATTCATGTATACATTGATAAATATGATATCTATATAATAAAACTCTTAACAACTTGAATTTTTATCATTATATATTCCACCAAAAAAAATCGTATCACTCATTTTCTATCACATATTTAATCATTTAATATTTGATTAATTTATAGTTTAACATAATTTTTATTTCAGATATTATCTGTACACAATAGTATACATATGTTGAGAAAATTTAATATAGTGAAATCAATTTTTTGGGCACTTGAATTTTATATTCTATTGTGCCTTCAAACACGGGTTATGACTAATATGTATATATCAAAATATATATAGACAAATAACATACATTTCAACACACATAATTAACTTTTCCTCTACTTTTCCTCTCAATTTTGGAGGGATTGATTTTGATGAGTTGGAAAAAAAACTTATCTATTCACTTTTCCATTCTTTCTATTTTCTTTCTTTTCTAAACATAATGTTTTATCTATCCCTCTAACTTTTTATTCTTCTAACTTTCTATGCTTTCATTTTTTCATCGTACCAAACAAAATATAAGTGTTTTGTTTTGAGTTTGAGAACAACCATTTTGTGCAAAACTTTGCAAAAGTTGTAGATCTAAAAGATGAATGCAAAGACTTCTTCTCAACATGACTTGCATAAACACATGAAGACTTTGTTTCTTCCGCATATTTAGTTACCAAGGGAAAAGAAAAGTGAGGAAGATGCAGAGGGATGACTGTTCTGTATTTTATTTGGTTCATATTGGAAATGAATGCTCCATTGATGGAACAGTGATTAGATTGTTGTTTTTTCAGCATGTGTCAGCCACATTTTCAAATTTGCAGAATTAGTGCATTGTATCACAAATTGTAGAATGCTGAATTCCGATTTTTTTGAAATATTATTTATCCCCGCTGTTCTATTCGTAGGTTTATTTGTTTCCCTTTCATTTGGCAGGGGTTCAGAAAAGGCTCAGTAGGCTTGGTTTGTGCACTTTGTGATAGTCTACATACTAGGTCTCTCTTGCTTTGCTGTCACGTTTTCATGTCAGGATGGTATGTATTATTATTAGATTCTGGGTTTTGCTGTGATGAAACTTTTTTTTCCCTCTGTATTTACGTTTCTGTTATTTATCTTCTATAGTGTGAGATAACAGATTATTCAGACAGTGACAAATCATCAGAGGTGGAAGGTCATACTGGAACTATACCTAAGATTGAGGCATTGCATCATGACTTGCCATATGCGAACATGCACTCGAGGCATATAGAGGTATGCATGTGTTTTATGGGTTCATTATTATTTTGTTATTATTTGAATATGTTGAATTCTCGCTCCTGGTTGTACATTGTTATGATGAAGTCATATGCGCTTCATATTTACCATGGATCCGTAATGTTAAGCTTTGACATGATGTTTGTGCTAACATTATAACATTTTATACTGTGGAGTGTTGATACTGGTCATGGCAAGTGGCCTTACCTTTCAAGTACACCAGAACTAACCCCTTGCTAAATGCAATTGTTTGGGTAAAGGATATTAGCACTCCAATAACTACTGTTGGCAGTCCAAAGGATGGTTAAAAAAATAATTTTTTGGTGTGCCAGAACCGAAATTTGGACTATCAATGGCATTATTACCACCCCTCCCTTTTTACATAGTAGCTAAGTGTCTTTTTCATACTGCTTTTCTATTTGCACCGTCTTATGTACTTCCATACTAATGTTAGAAATGATAGCCCAACAACATGAACTTTATTTTTGATTGAACATTATACTTGACATTTCCTAAGCCAAAATAAGATGGTAACATGAACTTAAGCATTACCTAATCAGCTGAGCTTGGC